AGAATGGGATATTGATGATATGCGATAAGATTGGTATGTGGACTGCATCATACTTTTAGAAAGTATAGTTGATCTCACAACTATGAGTTCCTGTAATTTATGATGGTCACATAGATTTTTTTAGAAAATATTGACATACCCACCGAGAAACCATTTGATAAGTTCTATTCATGTGTCTATGGGATTATTGGCGTATAGAGTAGTGTAATAGTCCTCCGACTTGAAGTCAATATGTACTACATGTGCGGAGTGATGCACTTTGATCATTACCAACGCTTGCACTCCAATCGGGGTAGATATGACATGTGTTGGGTGCATCACGAAGCAAATGGAGTAGTAGTTGAGCCAAGAAAGGATTCATTCCTCATAATAGATTAAGATAGAACATTCTACTTCTCATATCTAGATGGATCATAAAGTCATTGGCCAATGCAAAGATATATTCGTTTTGGATATCGAATATGATCGTTATGGATCATCTAGAAATATTGAAAGATAGAAACTAAATTATTGGAATAGACACAATATCATGTTCTAGACTTAGTTGAATGTTCATTGAATGAAAGGAATGTATCATTATGAGCTCTATATTACATGGAGTTTGAATAGTCCTCGCAAACGTCCTTATATATTAAGATTGTCTGGTAAATCGTCTAGGGATTCTGCTAAGACCTTAATTTGATTAGTGCTTAAAATATAAGGCCCTATGGGTCACACAACAAGTGATTATACCTTTCGATTGAATTGTTAGAAGGAATTAAATATTATTAATAGGATTAAATAATATTTAATTCATAATACTGAAAATGGATTAAATATTAATTAGATTAATTAGGAGTATTGGTCCTAGCACGATTAGAACTCATTAATTAGAAAGTCTTTCATTGTGATTGGGTAACTAGTTTAGAACTAGGATAAATACATCCTCCTCCTCCATAATTAGAAGACCAGTTTTTCAATTCACTGTTCCCAGTTTATTTTCCTGCGAAGAGATTTCCTAGTCTTTCTCTTTGGGAGATCTAACTGTTCTTTCGAAAAGGAGAAATCATGTGGATACCTAAGGTCAAGGATTATTACCGCTAGGCTGGAGAATGTGTAAGTTCTAACTTTGATCTATTATTTTGTTATATTCGTTGATTTGTCATAATCAGGGAAGATCTGTTTGAGAAAGTTTTAAATTTCCGCTGCCGTACTTTCGAGGTACGTTACATCAATTTCCTAACAGTAAATGGCGTTTTAACCCAATTGTGGTGGAAAGTCATATGCAGGGCCGTCTACAACCATTATGAGGCCCTATATAGTCATATATACATTTGGTTTAAATATGATCCATTTAACATCACCATCATCATAATCATCATCATCATCACTTACCGCAGTGCCGCAAAGGCTCCCACCTACGGTGGGGTAAGGGAGAGTCGGATGTACGCAGTCTTACCCTAGTCCTAAAGCACATAGAGACTGTTTTCGGATGACGCATAGTGAAAATCGCGTCCACATTGGCATGGACTGCGTGCTGCTTCATAAAAAAGAAGCGCAAACAGTTTAGTGAGTCATTTTGCTTAATTTCATCATATTCTCACGGCAAAAAACAGTGAATCTTTGGCTCCATTGTAAATAATGGGAATATGTTGCATTCAACATAAATATACAAAAATATGATATCAAGCAAGTAGAAGAAAATTACCTATATGAAATTCATCATATTAACTTACATCCTCACACTTATTCTTAAAAACGGTATTTATACCCACGTTTTCGACAATATTGAAGGAAAAGGTTTTGTGCTACGTACCGATCTATAGTGGCAAGCGATTTTGTTACTTAGTGCTTTCTTAATTTATTCTTTCTCTTTATATACACCGAATCATATTTTTTGTCCTGGTAATAAAAACCCATAAAAAATTTCTTTCAAAATAATACTCCATAATAAATAAATAAATGGTTCATAAATATAAATTTAATCGACATGCATAGTATAAAACAAATATTCAATATTTCAAATCAACATCACTAATCACGATTTCATTATATCAAGATTATAAGTATTGAGGTATTAATTAATTTATTGTAATACAATAGTATACGCCTTACAGCTCAGTGCTCTAGTCGAGTAACAATGAAAAAATCTAAAGGAAACCAAAAAGATGTAATTATGTAAATAAATAATACTCCTGTGGTCAAGCCTGGCAGTGACGCACGCTCACACGCGCTGCCGATTGGAATTGCTCAAGGCCTGGGAACATGGGATTGCAATTTTTGATTTGCGAAGAGGCAACTCAAGGGTTCGAAGTTGGGGTCCTGAAGCGATGAAGTTGTTTCTTTGGTCAAGTCAATGGTTTGGCAGCTCGTTGATACAGAGTATTTAATTACAATTTTACAATTTAAATTAAATTGAGAAATGGTGCTAAATAGGAGCTTAACTTATGGTATGTAATTAAATAAGAGCTTAACTTTTTTTACTCCTAAATAGGACCTAATTTTAGGAAGTTTCCAAAATTGCCCCTGTTTCTTAAACTCATACAGAAACTCAGATTTCCGTTATTTTCATTCTCTCCTTCAGCTCAGCCTTCAAATTAGACGATCTTCATCTCACCTTCGATGAACTGCTGCGATCGATTAACTGCCGCCATCGATCAACTGCCGCCATCGATCAACTGCCGCCATTGATCAACTGCTGTGATATTCACAGACTATCGCTCACATGTTATTTGGTACGATCACATAGTTTTATCGTTCGCTTTTTGTTTGCGACAATCATCTTCACCTTCATCTTCGTTTTAATTTGTGTGATGATTGTGTATCAGAATTGTATATATTCTTGAATTTTATATTCTTGAATTGATTGTGCGCATGGTGTTAGTTCCTCAGCATGGCAGTCCGTTGATGGCGGCGACCATGCTCCCGTAGTGGCGACAATCATCTTCACCTGTTCATTAATTTTATATTCTTGAATTGTATGATGATTGTGTATCAGAATTGTTTTCATTTGTGTTTACTTGTTGATAGTCGTATGAAGTTTTATTGTAGTTCTATGATTAGGAGAGCTGGAAGTATTATGAATGCTTTATCATCATTATCGTTTTTCCTGTCTCTAATCTTCTTTAATGTTCATTATTTTTTCCTTCTTTTCATATTTCTTACTACATACGCTTTACTCTTCTGGATTTATCTTTGGTTTGACATTGTAGATAATTCATGACATTGTTTTACATTCATGTCATTTGTTGTATTTCCAGGTGTCGCAGACATGGATAATAATATTCTTGTCATGGTTAAAGTTGATGGATACTGGAATCCTGATAATGTGTTTCATAATAAACACACGCTTGGTGTTTCTGTTTTGTTTGGTTCTTCCTATAGTGATTTCTGTGATAATTTGATACATAACATTTTCAAGGGAAGAATCGATAAAGATTTTAGGATATCTTACATTGTTGAGTCATGTCCTCCCCCTGTTTTTATAGATGATGATACAAGTCTTACTTTTTATCTAACTTTGAAAACCTTACATCCATCTTTTTCCCAGTTTCCAATTTGTGTTGAGTTCATTGCACATCAAGTTCCTTCAAAATGTCATACTTCTCATAATACTTCTATCCTCATACCTTCAGAAAGTATATCATTTGATTTACCAAAGGTTCCCTCTTCTTCTTCAGTTGATTCTTTTTTGTCAACTGGTGTTTATAAGGATGTTAAAGTTTATACGCACACTGATCCTACCAGTATAGCATTGTATGCTATATACAAGAATAAACATGATCTTATATATCACTTGAAGTTGTATGCCATTGAGAACAACTTTCAGTATGTGACTAAAACTTCAAGAAAAGAAAGTTTACATGTTTTTTGTCCTGATGAGAAATGTGAGTGGGCTGTTCGTGGTGTTCGTCTTCCTGATGTGGACTTCTTTCAGATTCGCAGGTTCAATTGCAACTTTAACATTTTTATTTATTTATTTATAGTTGTAATTATCAGTTACATTAACTTTAATTTTCACTTCTTCTTTTTCAGATTTGATTCAACTCATTCATGTTCAGTGGATTTCAGAGAGGGTGATCACAAGCAGGCCACTTATGACATTGTTGCAGGCATGGTTATTCATCGTTACTCCAATGCTTCTAAGAAATCCTATCCGCCAAATGACATAATTGACGACATCCGTAGAGAATTTGGCATCTCTTTGTCTTACCGTAAAGCTTTGGCAGTTAAGCGACATTCAATGAAGCTTCTCTTTGGATCCGATGAAGAGTCATATCAATTATTACCTTCCATGTGCCATGTCATTGGAAAAGTTAATCCACAGTCTGTCATAACTCTTGTTCGTCATGCTGATTCTGTTTTCAAATACATGTTCATGTCATTGTCTGCATGGAGGGAAGCTTGGGATCACTGTATACATGTCCTAACAGTTGATGGTACTTTTATGAAGGGCTATTTCAAAGGGACTTTGCTCACTGCCTGTACCAGGGATGCTAACCGTCAGCTTGTTCCATTAGCTTTTGGGATATGTGATTCAGAAAACAAGGATTCCTGGAAATGGTTCTTTTCACAGTTGAAACTGGCTTTATCTTATAGACACAATTTATATATTGTTTCTGACAGGAATGCTGGAATTATTAAATCCGTTAAAGATGTCTTTCCTTCAGCTGGACATGGTTATTGTGTTCACCATTTAGCTGGTAACATTCGGTCGCAGTTTAAGGGTTCTGCTGATGGTAAAGAGTGGAAGTTTAATGCTGCAGCACGAGCTTCTACTTACAAGGAGTATCAAGAATATATGGCTTTGTTGGATTTGGAGGATCCTCGTATAAGAGCATATTTAGATAAGATTGGAAGTGATAAGTGGGCAAGGTGCATGAGTGGTGCGTATAGATATAATATCATGACTTCTAACTGGGCTGAGTCCATGAATAATGTCAACATTTGTGCTCGAGAGTATCCAGTAGCAAAATTAATTGATTTTATTCGTGAGCGAATGCAAAAATGGTTTACAGAGCGTCGTGATTTAGCACATTCAACTACAACTATTCTGCCTAAAGAGCGTGAACATGAGCTTATAGTTCTGCAACGTGAAGCATTTCGTATGCAGGTATGACATTGTGTTTGTTAATGTTTGACATTGCTTGTTAAAGTTGTTGACATTGTGTTTAAATCTTTGACATTTTCTCATAATAACTGAATTTCATTTTATTTTTCCTTTTTGCTTAGATTATTTATTTACTGTTGCAGGTGAAGCCTTCTTGTGCTTACGAATTTCAGGTTGTTGATAGGCGCTGTCGATCTTTTGTTGTTGATTTGAAGAAAAAAATTTGCACATGCTGTGCATTTCAATTGGATCAATTTGTGTGTGTACATGCTGTAGCAGCGATTTCCAAAGCACCAAACATGTCATGTTATGATTTCATTTCGCCTTTTTATAAACGTGACGCGTTGTGTGCTACTTACAATGGGATTGTTCATCCAATTTGTGATGTTGCTGCATGGAATGTCCCTGCTGATGTTCAAAGTATGATCTGCAAACCACCTAAGTGTGAAAAGACGCCAGCTGGAAGGCCAAAGAAGAAGAGGATACCATCTGTTGGAGAGTTTCCTACATTTAAAAAATCAAAAAACAGAGATGTTCACGTTGTACTGGTGTTGGGCATAATCAGAAGACTTGTAAAAATCCAATTCCCCATGTTATAAAAAATCAAAAAACAGAGATGTTAAAGTTGTACTGGTGTTTTTGCACTTTAGCAGTACATTTTTACTGCTAAATACTATTGGTGTATTTGACATTCTTATATTTAGAATGACACTTTTAAATGTAATTTCTGAAATTTAGATTGAGATGTTCACATTTACCATTTCATTTTCTATCCTTTGCAATGATAAAACATTTCTAGAATGGCATTCTGGCTATAAAATCATTCTCATTGTCATTACATTTTCAATGTAATTTTTCAAGTTATCAAAGATATTTGGATAATGTCATTTTCTAATTTTTCAATATCATTTGCAATGTCATTACAATGGTAATGTAAAGACGCATTCTGGCAATAAGATCATTGTCATTGTAATTACATTTTCAATGCAATGTCATTTTCTACTTTTCAATGTCATTTGCAATGTCATTAGAATGATAATGTAAAGACAATGAATGCATTGATATTGTGAATGTCATTGAAATAACAATGCTATTTCAATCTCAAAGGTATTGTCATGACATCTGAGATACTGTTCAATAAAATGGAATGACATTCAAAATGCACTATAATAACATTGGAATGTCATTTGCATAAATTGAACAAAATAAGGAAGTGCAATAATTTGTTCAATGCAAACAGATAGTAGTTGTTTCACTAAGTATATTACACACGATTGTATTAGAATATCATATCATATCATATAAAGCACTTCAGTCCTGCCCACATCTTCACTTCGCTGCAACATCTTCAACCCAATGCTTCCTTCATCCTTCTTTCGTTATACAGTATCAGCTCTGTCATCATTTTTTCTCTAAATAGGGGCATGTCTTCAGATTTGATTTCCTTAATATCCCTTCCCATCATCAGAAATTCAGCAAATTTCAAAACAAACATTCCACAGTTTCCACTGCATGAAGTAAAGGAAAAAACACAACATTAAAATCTAATAATTTTATTAGACAAAAAAAATATATATTTCAATATATTGAACTTACCAATCATCCTGTTGTGGACAATTTTCCACTGCTTGAACTGTGAACTTATCATCTTTTATATGTTCCATCATGTCATACACTCCGTAATTGTCAAGGATAAGATGTAACATCTCTTTCAAGCAAGGAAGATATTCAACAATGTCTCTAAGTGATTGACCCCGATTTGCTTTTGAATTGTAAACCCTTATTATTTTGGTGTTCATTTCTATAACCAGCAACACCCAATGGCTACCATTACACACAGGCATATACACAAAATCTGATTCACTCCATGGCATTCCATATTCGCATGTCATTCCCAAAATTTCTGACACTATAGTATCATGGTCAGATGCATCTTTCAATGTCTTATTGTTATTCTTTACTTCATTATGTGCTGTCTTCAGAATTTGAATGAAATATGGACCCACAGAAGCATATTTCTGTGGTAATTTGTACTGTGCTCTTTTGAAATTCAAATAGTACATGCACACTGCCATATGCTGCAATATAAAGAGTTTCATAAATATTTAATAAAATTATAAATTTACATAGCAAACAATTTGAGTATTTATTATATTAAACCACTACTTACAGAATCAGTCAGCCATTCTTGATTGAAAAACAGTTCGTAGAGCCATGTTTTTGACCTTATCTCAAAGTCATCAACTATAAAAGGCATTTTGTCCAGAACCTCAAAATTCTTTTTGTACTTCCTAGCATCCTCAAATTTCCTCCTATTTTCAGCAGTCCAATATTCAAATAAGTCCTTGTTTTCTCAATTGCATTAACAGGTGGCATCTCAAAAGGGTCAAGTGCAAATGGCCCGTACAATGACTTTCTTTCATTCATTCTTAGTTTCAGCATTTTCTTCTCTAGCCTTTCCACCTTAGCTTTCTTTCTTTGTTGCACAAGTTCTGTAGGAGTGTATTTGTCAGGTTGAGTGGCAGTCCTTTTTGGCCTTTTAAACTTTGCCAATGTTTCTTGAATAGGTATTCTTTCTGCATAAACCTGCATTGCGAAATTCAAATTATATTCCACTCCCAATGTCATCCGCAATGGTATTGATAGAAACTATGTAATTGCCAATGAGATGTCATTAGAAATGCCATTATCAATGTTATACTATTACCAATGTCATTTCTCAGAGTCATTGTAATCGCATTGTACTTCATACAATGACATTCAAAATGGCATTGCCAATGACATTGTACTATATAGATTGCCAATGTTATGGCATTTTAAATGCCATTGTCAATGATATATCTATAACATTCTCATGACATTTTTAGGAAATCTTATATTATCACCAATAAATATGTTGTTATTTAATTTACTATTTACCACTATTGCTTTTTCATTGTTACTTCTGAATTCCTTTTCTCCAGAACTCTGACCATCTTTATCCTGCAGTAACAAATCAGAATGTCACAAATAGACCTATAGAAATATTTTCAATTATCATTGTCATTACCTTGTTTTTTATAATATCATTCACAATATTATCGACCTGCTGTAGATCTTCAAGTGAAAATTGAGTGTCTCCCAACAATGGAGATTTTTCATTGTTAGACATTGTCTTTTCAGGAGGTGTTGGAGTGAAGTGCAAATCAAAACTTGGCATATCTGAACCCCCCATATTCTGCACTTCTTTAACATTTTCTTTTTCAAACACTTCTTCAGCCTTTTCTTCTTCCATTTCCTTTACAGAAACTTCGTTTTTAGAGATTTTATCCTCCCCAGATTCATCAGACTCCTCAGCATCTGGTTTATTATCATTTTTTTCTCCCTCCCCAGACTCCTCAGCATCTTTTTCTTCCCCAGACTCCTCAGCACCTGGCTTATCATCATTTTTTTCACCCTCCCCAGATTCCTCATCATCTTCTTCTTCTCCAGACTCCACAGCATCTTGCTTATTATAATCTTTTTCACCCTCCCCAGACTTCTCAGCATCTTCTTCTTCTCCAGAATTATCAGACACCTCTACATCTTCTTGTTCATTAGAATCATTCTCTTCATATTCTTCCTCAGTTGTGTCATCATCAGAACTTGTATTACAGTCAAGCTCAACTTCTTGTACAATCTTCTTCCCCTGCACTGTCTTGCCAGAATCTTTTATTTCATACCCTTTCTTCAGAAGCAATGTCAATATTTGCTCAAACATTTTATCATGTTTCTTTAGGGTATCTTTGATACCCTTCAGCTCTTTCAAACATATTACTTGAAACTGATCTTGTTCAGAGTTGCTTGGACTCTCAGTTTCTGCCTGCTCTTTACCTTTTTGCCTTTTGTTGCTTTCCTTCTCAAAGTAGTACTTTTCTTGGCTTTTTTGAATTCAATTTCCGATTCCTCTTTACTATTCTTGCTTGATGCTTTTCTTTTCAAAGCAGTTTTTTTCGGTATTCTCTGTGATCTTCTTTTATCTATTCGAGACTGCATCTTGCCTTCATTGTCACTCTCATAGATCACCTTCTCCACAGCTGCATTCACATCCACTATGCTTTTCTCATTTCTGGTTGTCCACATATTTGCTATATTAGCATCTTCAAGCTCTATTGTTGTTGGAACAATAGGCTGTAACTCAAACTGCAATGGTTGTAATATCATAAGTTTAACAAATCAATATATCTTTTAAAATTAAAAGTTATCAATTTCATTTCCAATGTCAATGTCGTTCAAATGTCAATGTCATTGGCAATGATAAGTCATTGTCATTGTTGTGTTATTGGAACGTTATACCATTTTCAACGACAATGGCAATGTAATAACATTGTCAATGGCAATGTGATAACATTGTCACTGGCAATGTGATAAAAATGTGATAACAATGTGACTGGCAATGTGATAACATTGTCAATGACAATGTAATAACATTGTCAATGTGACTGGCAATGTGATAACATTGTCAATGGCAATGTAATACCATTGTCAATGGCAATGTGATAACACTGTCAATGGCGATGTGATAACACTGTCAATGGCAATGTAATAACATTGTCAATGACATTGGTAAAGAAATAATAAAAATGAACTATTTTACTGTAATTAGTATGTAGTTACCTTTTTGTTGTCAAAAATATCCTCAGAAACAACTTTAGCAGAAGGCTTTTTCAACAAGCACCACCTTGTGATCCTTGGAACTGCATCCTTTTTGGAAGTAATAACTTTGCACATCTTTGCTCTTGATAATGCTGGGAATGTTTCAAATGCCCAAATTTGTATGGCAAACATATATCCAGGAAAATTATATCTTCCTTTGTCAGATTTGGACATGTTTTTGGCACATTTCCCAACATTGTCAACAAGGTCCTTCCAAACAACCTCACCCCATGCATAGGAATTAAATTTATCCAGATCATTCACCAAGTCAGCATAGGCCATTGGCATTGTAATGGGGGTCTGATTTCCCAGGAGCAGATTTGATAGGACATACAATAGTGCCAGTTTCACGCCATCACCTGGCTTTGCATTACTGTCCTTCCTATTAAAATTTTTGAATGCCTTTGCGACATCACCTCGGTACAGTGACCTCTTCTTGTTCTGCTGGAAGTATCTTCTCCAAATATCACCTTCTTCAGATTTTTCAATATCTTTGTCACCGGTAAATCTTAAACCTGTGAGCGGACAGAACTCCTCTTTGCTGAAGGTGACAAGTTTGTTTTGTATATGAAATACAAGCATGTCTTTAACAACATTGCCATTAATTTCAGTGACATTGCTACCAACTAAATATATCAGGAGTTGGCCACTTATCCATTTCATATCTGCAATTTCCAGAATGCTTCCAAATGATGTTGTTCTGAAGTTATTGAGTTCTTCTTCATTCAGTTTCATCTTCAGCAGTCCAGCAAC